CCAGCAATGGCAGTTCTGCTGATGATGACTGTCAGATGGATCTAACCTTAGGTCACACTGGTTTCATCAATCTGCTTTGTGGCTGTCTCTTTGAAGTCAAGGCCTGACTTGTTTCCAATGCCCTCCTTAAGCTGAATGACAAGAAGACTGAGACTTTTCTCTTAAATCCAAAAAATAGTGACCTGCACGCATCTGATTCCTCCCCCCCCCTCCATGAACTTCAACCCCTGTGTGACCACCCTTGGGGTCAAACTAGATGCTGACTTATCGATGACCCTGCAGGTAAACGCTACTGCAAGGTACTGTTTTTTCCAACTGCGACCTTTGACGCACTTAAAAATCATTCATGCGTTTATCACCTGAAGTCTCGACTATGCAAATTCAGTCCTTGTTGGTGTAAGTGCATCCTCCCTTAACCGCTTACAGGTGGTCCACGATCTCGTACAAAAAGAAGTGGACAATGCCATGTTACTCCCATCTTGGCTGACCTATACGAGCTCCGTGTGTCCTGTCGTGTGAGGTTCAAAATGTTGCTGTTCACTTTCAGTCCCTGCCACCCCTCCCGAGCACTGCAATCCTAAACTGATTTGCACATCCCGTGGTGAGCGAGCATGGGCCTTCGCTGCACCTGAACTGTGCGCCTGGCTTAGACAATAATGCATTTCAGATCAGGACCGACGTCGCATCTCTTCAAACTGGCTTTCGGCAGGTGGACTTCTCCAGCTGGGTGTGCCATCTGTGTTCCGGTTATTGTTGATGCTTCTTCTGCATTTCTATTTTGTGTCTTAACTCTATTTTTAATAGTTTGGTTTTGCTCCTGATGTTTCTTCCCTTGTTGCATATTTTATGCAGCCTTACTTTTATGCTCTGGTTTTAGGAGTTTTACCTTTTGAATCTTTATTTTACTCACCGGTTAATGGGAGCTTTTAACTTAGCCGTATTTTGGTCGGTTTCTTCTGCCCTTTTCCTCATCCAGCACTTTGGTCAGCTGACACACCGTGGTTACAGATGAATATGGTAAATTCTTCCTTTTAACACTTGGAGTTGCACTGATCCTGCAGCTGTTCCGTCGTTACTAAAACTGAGTTTGCAGCTTTGAAAGCCAGAGTTAAAGAGCGTGCTGGTGGCTGTTGGACACCGTCAGCGGTCGGGTTTATTCAGGGTCGCTGTGGCAGGCTGACAGGAGAATGACTCCAGTATTTCTCTTTCAGACCTCAACAGCTGGAGGTTGATTTGTTAAAAATGGTCCTAAAGACATAAATTTGATTAAAATATCCTGACAGTCTAGGCAACTAGCTTAGTTTTGGTCATATTACAGATTACCCCTCTCCTACTGTGTGTGTGTGTGTGTGTGTCTATGTGCGTGTGTGTGTGTGTGTGTGTGTGTGTGTGTGTGTGTGTGTGTGTGTGTGTCTATGTGCGTGTGTGTGTGTGTGTGTGTGTGTGTGTGTGTGTGTGTGTGTGTGTGTGTGTGTGTGTGTGTGTGTGTGTGTGTGTGTGTGTGTGTGTGTGTGTGTGTGTGTGTGTGTGTGTGTGTGTGTCTATGTGCGTGTGTGTGTGCGTGCGTGCGTGTGTGTGTGCGTGCGTGCGTGTGTGTGTGCGTGAGTGAGTGAGTGAGTGAGTGAGTGAGTGAGTGAGCGAGTGAGTGAGCGAGCGAGCGAGACATGACTTGGGAAAACAATCTGTCACAAGACTGCGTAACGAACCAGACATTCAGATATCGAGATTCCAGCTTTGAGAGGATGTGTTTTTCTCTCGGTCTCTGTCTTCTCAGCGGGGTCAGAGGGCAGGTCAGGATCAGCCTCCCCCCGACACCACACAGCTTCCCATCACTTAGGCATTTCTTCTGATTTCACCAGAACAAGCAAGTAAAAAATAAATAAAATAAAATAAACAGAACTAAACTAATCTAAGTGCTCTTTTTCTTGAATTTCTTTTTGAAGCTTTTTGATTTTTCTTGCAGTTGTTTCTCATGTATTCATGTTTTTTGTATTTAAATAGGACCTCTTTGGCAAAGGTGTCCCTGAGTGGTCAAGTGCAGATGGTGTCAGGACACGCGTTTGCTTTCCACAATCACCCAGAGCAGGAGCTGGTTGGGAGTGTGCTTTTGTTTGCCGTGTCCTGGCGTCTGCCACTCGACACACATCGATGTCTGCTATCGTGCTGCTGTGTGTCTGGTGTGCAGGTATCGGAGCTTCCCTATGGGACAGGTTTTGTGTCGTGGTTTTTTCTTGTAAAACAGATGAGAAATCATCAACTTTCACTGTTTTTTACTTTTAATTCAACATCCTTCTTATTATGTCGTTCATTCAAACGGTTTACAAACCAGGAAGTAGGATGTCGTATTTTGTGCTGAGCGTGTGCAGAGCAAAGAGGGGCTGCGCCCAGCTTAGAGGGATGTCCCGGCGACTTTCACCGGGCCGTCCTGTCAGACCTCACCACGATCGGGCCTCAGTCATGTTCCACGCTGTGTGGTTATAAGGATGCTTTGCAACTTTTTCGTATTTTAAAATTATTTTCTTGTGCTAAAATGACCCTTTACAGCATTAGGAAATGTCACTCAGACCCCCATCGCCCTCTGTGGCCAGAAGACGGCATTTGCAACTTCAGAGTGCCCGTCCAGTCTTTTGGATTCCATCCTTTAGTTCTTTGTAAAACACAGAAAGGTTTTTTTACCTGCAACATTTCGTTTGCGGCTGCAAACTCAGTCAGGCGTCAGGTAAATAAAACCTTTCTGTGTTTTACAAAGAACTAAAAGATGGAATTAGAATTTCAACACAGCAAGAACACGCCAAAGATGTTTAAAGAAAACAGTGTTTTGGAGTTAGAAAAACATTGAGCTTACCTACCTGGCCCTTCAGTCTGCTTCCAGCGTGTTTTAGATCACGAACACAGCTGGTTTGTTTAATTTAATGATAAACCACTGCTGTAGAAACGAATGCAGGCTGCTGGGGAGACATTCCAGCTGTTAGATTAAGGTGTTAACTAGGGATGTGTATTTTTGAAATTCTGGCGATACGATACATATCACGATACAGGGGAGACGATACGATATATCACGATCTATTGCGATACATTCAGTCAGACGTTACAAGCAATTTTTTTTTTACTGAATTTATTGTAAGAATGTTCAACAAACAGTCCAAACTGATACGTAACATGTTTAACATGAGGTATCTGAACCATGATGGAGGGATTTACATGTCAGTGGTGGAAACAAAACCTGCTGCACACTGCTGCCACCTAGCGGGTGGCGATTGAATTGCACAAAACGAAAAGAAAATACACAAATGTTTGCATGTAAATTCTTTCAGGAATTAGATACACAGCTTTTGAATATCGATGTAATAATCGCAGGAAAAAATATCACGATATATTGCCATATCGATATTTTCTTACATCCCTAGTGTTAACAAGACGGACGCACAGCGAGGAGATAAGTTTTGCTTTTGGTTCTCCTAAAAGGACACTAGAGGGTGCTAAAAGCAAGGCAAAACTGCCTAGTCTATCAGCATCATGATTTCAGAGCTACGCTAACCAGATATCTCTCAAAAAGCAAATATTGATTGGTGGAACCATTAGCCACAGAGAGCGCTCTTGCCAAAAAAAGGTTAAAAGAATGCACAATCAGTTTACTTCCTGGACAATAAATGGATTGACAAATCCAACTGACACTTTGAACATTTTGGATTTATCCTATTTATTTATTTATTTATTTTTGACTACAATACATCGAAATATCATCCTGCACTGGAGTATGTGTTCATCTAGCTTGTTTGCCACATTGGTCATCCCTACGAGTAACTGATCATCAATTTACACAACCCAAGGGTGACCAAAGTAAAAACATCAAGGCAAAATAAAGATAATCGTCACAGAATCACTTAATGTAGCATGATCATAAACATTAAGATGTAATCTAAAACAACAAGTCCAGCTGCCTTCATTTGAACCCGTTGGGGTTGCAGCATGTTGAATGCACAGCAAGCGGCTGTTTTCTTTGCTGTCCGGTTTAAAATACCACCAAGCTGAAGACATTTAGCCCTCCTGAGGAGGCGCATTAGCTCTGCGTTAGCCTGCTAGCTAACAGATGCACCTTGGTGTCTGAAAGTCCCTGCCTGCTGGAAACTGTGTGAAGTGACTTTGTTGTTTCTGTAAAAGAAACCGATAATATTGATGTAGAGGAACTAGCTGAAATCTCAGGGTTGAACTTAAAACTAAGCCATTGTTACTCCATTAAAACATATTTCTCAAGATGAATTTAAAAAGTCATGTTTGCTGTTTACAGGGTATCCGCGGGTCCTTAAAAAGTCTTAAATTTACTTTTCCAAATTTAAGGCCTTGAAAATCCTTAAAAATTACAAATAATCCTTAAATACAGTTTCCAAAGGTCTTAAATTACTAAAGACCCAATAAACTAGATTATTTTATTCATTTTTGTGAATTTCTAGTTAGTCTTCAGCATTTTTTGTGTATGATGTTGGTGTAAGCGGAACCGTACACATTCAGATTAAGCACTTCGTGATTTTTATCTTGAGAGACGCTATAGAAATGATATTTTCTTCTTCTTCTTCTTCTTCAGTTGGTTGTGAAAGGGGGCTATTTTTAGATGAGTACATTAGCTGGTTAAGCTAGTGGGAGCTTGCGCCATGGAGAAGTGCAAGTTTAATGGTAACTGGATTATTAATCCCACGTTCACGATGTGGTTATCACCGGTCCCAGGCAATAGCTGGAAATTATAGCAGAAATTAAATAAAAAAAAATAGCTTTAATTTGGTCAAAGTGGCCTTAAAAAAGGTCTTAAAAAGTCTTAAATTTGGCTCCTGTAAACCTGCAGATACCCTGTGTTTAAAAAGGTTAAATCTGATCTTTTTCACCCAATTCTGTTCCTTCTAAAATCACGTGATCGGATCAGAGCATCCCTATTTTAATTTAATGTAAATGTGTGTTTTTTTCCAGAAAGACTGATTTTTATTTAGTTTTTTTTTCATCCATTTCAGGATCACCAAACCGCTGACGTTTGCAGACTGTGTTGGAGATGAACTACCTCTTGGGTGGGAGGAGGTTTACGACCAACAAGTTGGGGTTTACTACATTGACCACATTAACAGTGAGTAGATCTCGGCCTTTTGGTCTCCTCTACGCTGAAACGGCACACACATCGTGTTGGGAACATTCGATTTAACTGTAAATAAATTCCAATAAACTTAAATCCTAAGAGGGTTTGTTTGTTTTCTGATTGCCTCAAAGCTTCGTTTGTCGATGACTCAACTCTGTCTTGTCAGAGACTACTCAGATCGAGAACCCACGGACTCAGTGGCGGCAGGAGCAGGAGCGCATGTTGAAGGAGTACCTGGTGGTGGCCCAGGAGGCCCTCAGCGCCAAGAAGGAGATGTACCTGGTCAAGCAGCAGCGACTGGAGCTGGCTCAGCAGGAGATGTTGCGCTTCCATGAGCTCTCTGAGGACAACCACTCCATCACCAGCAGTAAGCACAGGGCTGCACAACCATAGAGCGATGGTCTCAATTAGACAAATAAATCCCATTTTTAGTTTTGCAAATGTCTCTAAACATTTCCTGCAACCTTCACACGCATCAGTAGGAACTCCTGAACAACTCTGACCCATAGTCCCATCAGGGGATGGTGGGACATTCGTGCAACATTCATACAAGATGTGCAAGAGCGTTGTGAATTCAAACTGCAACTGAACATGTTCCTCCGGTATTTTCTTGCATTACACCCCTAAATTATTCTCCATCTCGCCGGTAAAGGCTGCAACCCTGTGGGAGCTCTAGATGGACAAAAGTTTGAACCCAAAGCCTCCATGAGAACAAAAAAGACCTTCGTTTGACCCGGTTGTTTGGTTCTGACATACTATATCGCTGAAGAACTGTCGCTGATGCAAATCTATAGAAAATCTTCCATGTCGTCATTCTTTTCTCACCCCACCCTCCCTTCTAAACACCTCCACCCAGTTTACCCTCCGACTCCAGCCAGCTGTTACACAGGGGGGCATCCGCAGACTCGGAGGCAGGGAGATGACGCCAGATCCCCTCCAGCGCTCTCACAAGTTATTCTTGAAATTATCACCAACTGTTGACACCCCCTCTTCTCTTTACTTTGTGTCCACAGCTATCTCCACCTCGTCTTCCAATTCCAAATATGACCCTGATCAAATCAAAGTGGAAATCGCCTGTAGACGCGAGCGGGTAAGCCATTCTCAGGGAAGAACAATGGACCGTTTAGAGGGGCCACACTGGGTTGAGAGGGGGGGGGGTTACAGGATACCGTGGCTCTGGCCCGGGGCCTCGAGAGGATGAGATCACTATAAAGGATGAAGCAGAGGGTAGGTCCCCGACTCTCAGGGCCAAGTTCAACATTTGTGAGATCGCTCAGACGGGTGAGTGCTGTTCCTGGGTCACTTTAACCCAAATGGACGGGACCACGATGCTGCTGCAGAAACCTGTCAACTCAAACATAAACCTGGTAAAGGTTTGTTATTTTAGGACAGAATAAAAACTGGGAACTGATTAGTATTTTACAGCCGTCAAGACACGAATAACATTACCAGACAGAAAACCACTTGGTGAGCGCAAATGTACGAGTAACCGAAGATGTTTACGTTTTCAAGTTATCTGCTAAAAATCCTCATTGTGTTTGATTAAAATAGAAACGATGTCCTCAGAGTCGCAGTGATTATGGAGGTTGGTCTTATGTCTCTGACAGGAAGGTTGCTGCAGATTCTTACACAGTTAAATAAAATAGTTTTATTATAAAAGCTGATCAAGATTTGCTGTTTAACTAGCCAGGTTTCCTCCAGGTCAACGCTTTATCTTTGAAAACATTATTTATTTGCCAAAATAAATCTATTTAACCTAATATTAGTGATTATTTCACCTCGCATGTCTCTGCTCTGACTTCTTTGTTCTCGCAGCCTATAAACCTCTCTAAAAATCCAAATTTTTATTATTGATTCTAGAAAAAATCAGTGCCTCTGGCTTGACTTTAGTGATTTGTTGTTGTTGTTGTTGTTGTCGCTGATGTTCTTCACCCGTCTGATTGTATAAATGCTTTTCGTTTTTGTGCCAGAGGAGCGCTGTGTGGCGTGCTTATAAGTTAAACATAATTAGAAACGTACTACGTCAGAGCTGGTCTCCAGCAGCATCGAGCAGCTCGTTCCAGTTCATTCAGCCAGTTGGACTCTTAAGTCCAAGAAGCCGACTGAGGCGATTTAAGCTGCCACAAGCTCTGCTTTCAGTATTTTTTATTATTGTTTTAAAATCAGATTCTTCATCATACTTTCACCACAACAAGATGAAATAACAGTTCCCATCTTGAGACTTTGCCCGTTATTTCGTTCTGAACCCTCCAAAGGCAGGCGACGTTTATCAGCTGCTGCACGTTAGCAACAGATAACATTTCTGCTCTTTAACCTCACAAGAGAAGGCCTCAGTGTGTGGGATCCAGAGTGTGCGGATGTGCGCGTGCACGCGTGTGTGC